ACTAAAAGCTGGATCTTTGAGAAGATAAACAAAATTGATAAGCCACTAGCCAGACTCATCAAGAAAAGTAGGGAGAGAACTCAAATCAATAAAATTAGAAATGAAAGAGGAGAAGTTACAACAGACACCGCAGAAATACAAAGCATCCTAAGAGACTACTACAAGCAACTCTACGCCAATAAAATGGACAACCTGGAAGAAATGGAAAAATTCTTAGAAAGGTATAACCTTCCAAGACTGAACCAGGAAGAAATAGAAACTATGAACTGAACAATCACAAGTTATGAAAATGAAACTGTGATCAAAAATCTTCCAACAAACAAAAGTCCAGGACCAGAATTCTATCAAACATTTAGAGAAGAGCTAACACCCATCCTTCTCAAACTCTTCCAAAAAATTGCAGAGGAAGGGGCACTCTCAATCACATTCTATGAGGCCACCATCACCCTGATACCAAAACCAGGCAAAGATACTATAAAAAAAGAAAATTACAGACCAATATCACTGATGAATACAGATGCAAAAATCCTCAACAAAATACTATCAAACAGAATCCAACAGCACATTAAAAGCATCATACACCATGATCAAGTGGGATTTATCCCAGGGATGCAAGGATTCTTTAGTATATGCAAATCAATCAATGTGATACACCATATTAACAAATTGAAAAAGAAAAACCGTACGATCATCTCAATAGATGCAGAAAAAGCTTCTGACAAAATTCAACACCCATTTATGATAAAAACTCTCCAGAAAGTGGACATACAGGGAACCTACCTGAACATAATAAAGGCCATATATGACAAACCCACAGCAAACATCATTCTCAATGGTGAAAAATTAAAAGCATTTCCTCTAAGATCAGGAACAAGGCAAGGATGTCCACTCTCACCACTCTTATTCAATATAGTTTTGGAAGTCTTAGCCACGGCAATCAGAGAAGAAAAAGAAACAAACTGAACACAAATTGGAAAAGAAGAAGTAAAACTGTCACTGCCTGCAGATGACATGATACTATACATAGAGAATCCTAAAGATGCCACCAGAAAACTACTAGAGCTAATCAATGAATTTGGTAACATTGCAGGATACAAAATTAATGCACAGAAATCTCTTGCATTCCTACACACTAATGATGAAAAATCTGAAAGAGAAATTAAGGAAACACTCCCATTTACCATTGCAACCAAAAGAATAAAATACCTAGGAATAAACCTACCTAGGGAGACAAAAGACCTGTAGGCAGGAAACTGTAAGACACTGATGAAAGAAATTAAAGATGATACAAACAGATGGAGAGATATATCATGTTCTTGGATTGGAGAATCAATATTGTGAAAATGACTATACTACCCAAAGCAATCTACAGAGTCAATGTAATCCCTATCAAATTACCAATGGCATTTTTTACAGAACTAGAACAAAAAATCTTAAAATTTGTATGGAGACACAAAAGACCCCGAATAGCCAAAGTGGTCTTGAGGGAAAAAAAAATGAGCTGGAGGAATCAGACTCCCTGACTTCAGACAACACTACAAAGCTACAGTAATCAAGACAATACGGTACTGGCACAAAAACAGAAATATAGACCAATGGAACAGGATAGAAAGCCCAGAGATAAACCCATGCACCCATGGTCAATTAATCTATGGCAAAGGAGGGAAGGATGTACAATGGAGAAAAGACAGTCTCTTCAATAAGTGGTGCTGGGAAAACTGGACAGCTACATGTAAAAGAATGAAATTAGAACACTCCCTAACACCATTCACAAAAATAAACTCAGAATGGATTAGAGACCTAAATGTAAGACTGGACACTATAAAACTCTTAGAGGAAAACATAGGAAGAACACTCTTTGACATAAATCACAGCAAGATCTTTTTTGATCCACTTCTTAGAGTAATGGAAATAAAAACAAAAATAAACAAATGGGACCTAATGAAACTTCAAAGTTTTTGCTCAGCAAAGGAAACTACAAACACAATGAAAAGACAACCCTCAGAATGGGAGAAAATATTTGCAAACAAATCAACGGATAAAGGATTAATCTCCAAAATATATAAACAGCTCATGCAGCTCAATATTAAAAAAACACACAACCCAATCCAAAAATTGGCAGAAGACCTAAATAAACATTTCTCCAAAGAAGACATACAGATGGCCAAGAAGCACAGGAAAAGTTGCTCAACATCACTAATTATTAGAGAAGTGCAAATCAAAACTACAATGAGGTATCACCTCACACCAGTTAGAATGGGCATCACCAGAAAATCTAAAAACAACAGATGCTGGAGAGGGTGTGGAGAAAAGGGAACCCTCTTGCACTGTTGGTGGGAATATAAATTGATACAGCCACTTTGGAGAACAGTAGGGAGGTTCCTTAAAAAACTATAAATAGAATTACCATATGACCCAGCAATCTCACTACTGGGCATATACCAAGAGAAAACCATAATTCAAAAAGACACATGCATCCCAATGTTCATTGCAGCACTATTTACAATAGCCAGGACATGGAAGCAGCCTAAATGCCCATCAATAGACAAATGGATAAAGAAGATGTGGTACATATATACAATGGAACATTACACAGCCATAAAAAGGAATGAAATTAGTTTATTTGTAGAGACGTGGATGGATCTAGAGACTGTCATTCAGAGTGAAGTAAGTCAGAAAGAGAAAAACAAATATTGTATATTAACGCATATATGTGGAACTTAGAAAAATGGTACAGGTGAACCAGTTTGCAGGGCAGAAATTGAGACACAGATGTAGAGAACAGATGTATGGGCACCAAGGGGGGAACATGGCAGAAGGGGGTGGTGGTGTGTTGAATTGGGAGACTGAGATTTACATATATACACTAATATGTATAAAATGGATAACTAATAAGAACCTGCTGTATAAAAAAATAAATAAAATAAAATTCAAAAAAAAACCTCAACAATTTAAGACCTATATTTTCACAAATGTATAGTATTATTAACCTTTTAATCTCTGCAATGTGATTGATGGATAGGTCGTCTCCTTCCTTCCTTCCTTCCCTCATCCTTTCTTCCTTCCACCCATTCATTTAACAGATATTCACTAAGCACCTGCTATTTGCCAGTCACCATAAGTAGGCACTGAGGATTAAGCACTTAACAAGATAGGGCAATAGCCAAGTGAGAGAAGACAACATTTTCAAGTCTGTAAGTGGAAATGAGCCTGGCGTACCTTAGGAATTAAAATAAGTACAGATGAACACTAGTACGCAGTCATGAAAGTCCTTGTTAAAGGTTTTGGGTTTTATTTCAAGTGCAATGGAAGCCAGTGGCGTGTCAGGGGGTGATTCAGCATATCTGTGAGCAGACTTTCTGTTTTTTGGAAAACTGTTCTGTCTGCCTACAGAGTGAAACCTGATCAGAACGTGAGGACCAGCAAGGAAACTATCACAGTGAATTAGTTAAAATATAGTGTTGATTTGAACCAGGGTGGTAGCAAAAGGAGTGGAGGGAACCAGGAAATCTCAAATGCTATTAGGAAGTAGCATCTTTCAAAGTTTGGTAACAAGTCGGAGGGGAATAAGAATTGAAGGAAATGTTGGATTGAAAGATAACTTCTAGGGATTTGGTTTGAGCTACTAGGTGAGTGATGCTTTTTATGAAGACAGAAAACATTGGAAGTTGGGGAAAGAAAACTGACTTTATTAATCTGCATTTCTATGAGTATATGAGAAGTTGAACATTGTTTTTCATGTTTTATGACTTGGAATACAATATGCACTCAACAAATATGTGTTAAACATTTATTGTTGAATAAAAAACCTCTGCCCATTTTTCAACTGTGTAGATCTTCAAAGTATGGGCTCTAGAGAAAAACTTAGGTTTGATTCCCAGTTTCACCTTAATCCCATTACTTAATCTTTCTGAGGTCTAAATTCCTCATTTAAAAGGGGAGAAGAGGGTGAATAACAATACCTACAAGGAGTTGTTTATAGGATTAAAAGAGATATAGCTATATAAAATGCTCTGTATATTTTAACTGTTAAATAAATTTTGACTTATTTTTATTACTACCAATAAATAAGAAATGAATTACCAGTACTACTAATAATTCACAGTCTGTGTTTAAGTATTAATGATATTAACTGTTTTCCTGTAAACATTTTGCAACTTTTTCCACTTGCTATTATAAATCAATTTGATTAAAGTAGCTTTTATATTTATAAATCTTATGTAAAATCTATCTTTTTCTTAAAATTTCTTGTCTTTCATCATGCTAAGAAGAGCTTTCCTACTGTTATACAAATATTCCCTTGCATTTTCTTCTAACAGTTCTATTTTTACTCATATTATTAATATAATAGAGTTTATTTCGTGTATTTTTTCATATGCAGCAGAGAACTCAGTCCCCACCATACATGGTTAACTAGTCAACCTCCCCAATTAATGTATAATGAACTTTACCTACTATTTTAAATAGCGGTATATTAAATTCCCGTATGTAACAAAATATTCATTTAAGTAATAGAAGAAGACTATACAAAGATATTCACTACTACATTATTAATCATAATAAAAAACTGCAACTTGCTTAGTATTCATCAGTAAAGGACTGGTCAAATAAATTACACTTTCCCCATATAATGCAATAAGGTAGATCTACGTGTACTTACATGAGAAGTCCACAATATATTGTTAAGCATAAAATGAAACAAAAACAAAACATATACTGAAAATCAATATTTACAGTGTTGTCTTATTTTTATAAAATGAAATAATAATTATAAATAAGTTCCTAAATATTTGTGTGTGTATCTGAAAAAGCTTGGAAGCATAGTCACCAAAATTTAAGCTAGGGAAAGTAATCCACGGGAGAGAGGATGGGATACGTATAGGAGAATTTTTTTACAATTATACTTTTTACAATATATACGTCTACATTATTGGAATAGTTTTACAGATGGCATGTAGTATTTCTATAATCAGGAAATCAAGGGAAAAAATAAACTTTACCTGCAATGGCTTCATAGAGACCAGCTTTATACCCTAAGTACTCATATTCCTCAAATCTCTGAGGCCCCTCACACAGGGCTCTGCACTCTGTATCTTCATTGAAATATTCTCTTAAAGCTTGTTCAAAGTACTTGATAGCTAGTTCAAAGTCATCTGCCTCATAATGTTTAACTCCTTCACTGTAACTCTCCTGTAAAGAAACACAGAAAAATTTTTTTCAAAGAGCACCCAAGGGGCACTTGAATGGCAAAATGCAGGCAGACTCTGGATCACTTAGGTAGGTGGGTGTGGGACTCTTGCACTGTGGAAGATAAAGAAGGATCGCACTGGGAGATAAAGGGAAACTCCCCTGGCTTCAACTAATTGTAAATGAGAAGGGACTGACTGAGCAAGCCTACTGCTGTGGCATCAATCAATTTCATTTTCTTCCTGAGCTCACTCAAGACTATATTTTCTAACCCTTTTAAATGCAGGTAGGGCCATGCAACGAAGTGCAGGAAGATGGATGTGGGTGGACGTGACACTCAATTCCAGGCCTGGTTCAAATTTTTTTTTTGTGTGTGTGTGTGTGTATACTGCAATTTTATTGCAATGGCATAAGCAAAGTTAGTGTGTAAGAAATTTAAATGAAACAGTATGGTAAAATTATCAGAGAACCAAAAAATCTAAAAAGGAAGTACACCTAAAACATGAGAATTCAACATTCATTAATGTTTCATCTTCAGTTTTGATTGACACTTGATGCTTGCAAATTTTGAAACAAACTTTGAGACCATGATGACTATTTTGAATAGATTTCAGCACCAGCACTAAGATTTGTGCATTCAGTTGGTTTGCAGTTGACTTGTTAGCCATTTACATAATGTATAGTACAGATTTGTCACAGATCAGCTCACAGCATTGAAGGAAAGAAGTACCTTCCTGTAATTAGAAAGGATCCCCTAAACTGCACTCAGCTTAAGACATCCAATGTACAAGAGCACAGAAACCATCATAATAATGTGGCTCCAGGGAACATAGTTCATTCTTTTAAAAAATAAAACGAAAAAAGACTTTCATCTAAAATCTTCCTCTCTTAGCCTTTTCTTCAGTCCTCTTGGAGGCCACACATTGAGAATGGTGATGTATCCAATTGAAAAAGATGCCCTTTCAACACACTGTGAATTTCAAGTAAGATTTCATTTAAAGGAATAATTATGTAGCTTAAAAAAATCAAAATTTGAAAAGGACAGGTACCGTGGAAAAAGCCACTGGACTAGTTGCTGGGAAACCATGGTGTGACCCTGAGCAATTCACATGGGCTTCAACTCCAGTGGGTAAAATTGAAGCGCTGGAGTGGGTGCTGAGGCTCAGAGAGGGTTACAGACATTTACGTCACCTCTTACTTTTCACCATATCATACTGATTTTCTAAGTTAATTTTCTTTTTCTTTCAATTTTTCAACCCTGAATTACAATACTTCATCTTGGGAACTCTGAAAGTGTAAAAATGATACTGTATTGGATGTTGGAAATCAATGTGAGATATCCATTCATAGGAATTTGCTTTGAGTCCATTGAAAGTTAGGAGCACTAAGTTCCTCATGGTTAGGACAGGGTCCCCAAAGCTCACCAGGTGTGGTTTGGCATCCCGATCTACCAGCTGGAGGTCTTCAACACCCGCCATCGTTCTGTAATTCTTGATGTTCTGCTGCATTTCCATGTGCTCAGGGTTGGCCATGAAAAATGTGTGTGCTGCTTCCACTGCCTTTTCCAGCTGGTTAAGCTATAAAGAGAAAAAAAGAGGATCAAATGAAGGCAAATATTTCTAAACTGGGTTCAGTCCAAGGTCTCACAGACAGAAAGTGTCAGGGCTGAGTTCTAGTTCACATTCACTCTACCCAGCCTCCACACTAAAGGGCAAGAGGTTAATAAACAGTGCTCCTAAAATGATATGTGGGTATTTTGGCATTGGTGAAAATGGATGAATGTGCTTTTTTCCAAGTTCGTTTTCTTCTCCCTCTTTTCTAAGCCATATGTGTTTTCTGGGAAATTGACTCTACATGCTTCTGTTTGTCTTACGATTGATCAAAATTAAAATCTGCCAATGCTGGGCCACCTCTAATTCACATTTTCAATATTTTTGTCTTTTATTTTCTCTTCTTTTCTTTTTGTTCCTTTTGCCTTTAATCCTGACAATGGAAGAATAAACTGTGACTTTCTGAAGGATGAGATTAGGGATACCTCCCACTCCTCCAAATCTGTTTTCAGGCTTTAGAATGTGAAGAACACAAGGTTAAAAGGAATAAAATTTTCCAATCCAGAAGAGATGCTAAATACAGCACACAAAATGTTATACCACATTCCTTTGATTGAGAAATTGATTCCAAACTTACAAGTTGGATTCTCATTCATATAAAAGGAAGGATTTTTAATAAACTACAAAGACACTATAAATCTCTTAAACCACTTAGTAAGCTGCTCTCCATGTAACGTGCAATGATGCATTTTTTGGTAAAAAAATGTAATTAAATTTACTTGATTTAATACATTTCGCCCTATGCTTTATTCATGGAGAATGTCTATAGACAGAACCCTTTGCCTCATTTCAGAAAAGTGAATATTCACACTAGTACTAGTCATTTTCATGGTGAAATCCAAATTATGCTTGGTCTATTTTGAAGTATAAAGTAATGAAACTCACTGTTACTGAACAAATAAATATAAAATCATGGAAGGCATATAAGATTCACCTGAGTAGGCTTTTGATAGTCTGGCCACTCAAGTATTAGTAAGAAATAGAAAGTAGTAGTAAGTTCCTGAGTTCCCAGTCACTGCCTTCTCATGATATATAAAGAATCGTATCCCTTACTACAGAAAACATAAACTGCCCTATTTTAAGATCTGATATCCTTAACTTTGTCTAATAACAGTAAAGCCTTCTCCTTTTCTTTTTAATTTGCATATTCTTCGCTGCTGGCCTTCCTTCCATCAAATCTTGCCTGAAATCAGCTTTCCTTGCCACTTTCACCTTTGTTCTCGATTCTGTGGTTTCAGAATTATTTTTGCTGTCAAAATCATTCATTTTGAATTCCTGGTTTCTTTCTTAAATTTCCTCAATTTCTCATACACCAACACAGACAAATATGAGCTGTATGGATGACTACATAGTGACAAGCATATAGCTATAGAGGAAAATGAATAGGTCCTAAATCGGGTATGTGTCTACACTTACTGACCAAGTGAACCTGGAAAAAGTCATTTAAACGCTTGTGTCTTGGTTCTCCACTAAGAAACTGTCATACCACCACCTACTACATAGGATTTTGGAATGATTTAATTGTGTATTATATATAAATGTGCTTCAGAAATCACTAAAACCCTAAAAAGAAACAACAACTGGATATATTTATATAAGATCTATTCATTTCAAGGATGTGAATATACTCTCATTAATGCTGGGTATGTATAGTCTACAACTCCCATAGACACATAATTCATGAGGATATAGTGAGGTACTTGTGGTTGGTGGAAACTGCCTCCAGTTAAGGGCCAAACTATAAGTTCTGAACACAACAGGTTAGTACTGACACGCTCTAGTTTTATAACACCAGCCATTAACATTGAATGAAAATAGATAAATTTTGCACTTTCCTACCTTCATGTTTTGCTCAGACTGTTCCACTGACCTAGAGATCCTCTGACACTTGGATTTTCTTGTTGAAATCTAACATATCCTATAAGGCCAAGCTTAAATCCTGCCTTCTCTAAGAAATTTTTTCTCAACCCTAAAGCTACAGTCAAGCATTGCAATATCATCGTATCCCTGTTCTTCTACTGGCACTTATCATACTCTGCCATATGTGGCACCTACCTAAGTACATTTGTTTCTCCTAGTAGAACTTTCCGAGGATAGGGACCACATGACTTATTTATTATTTTGTTTTCCATCTACTTTACATATAGATGATGTCTATGATATGTCTAGGAAAAGAGAAAAAATAAATTCTAAGAAGCAAAACATTTTCACACAAATCAAAAGGTATATTACATGTGAGTGTGCTTCATAAGCTATAATGGACTAGAAGGATGTAAGTTTAATAACAACATCTCTGAAGTCATCATTCACACTGAGAGCTTCCAATACTGATTATCACTGATGAATGTGATTCAGTAGCTCTTGAAAACTGTTAGCCAACACTGATAAATTGGTTCCTTCTCTTAAATTTGACCACATTGGTTTTTTGCTTATTTGGTGCTTTCCCCATTTATAACCCCGTATTAAACGTAATACCATGTTCCCCAATATAAATATAAAGATTCCATGACTTAAGGTTAATCCATAAAACTTATTCATGAACTGGCTTTTAAATTATTGTGAACCAGTTCAGGAAACTAGAATTGGCTGCCAGAGATTATATATAAAACAGGCCATCATGTTAACTGGAAGCCTGATATCTTTGTAGTTCATTTTTGAAATTAGATACACACATCTGAAGTGGTAGGAAAAGTCCAGGTGAACATGCGTGTGCCACATACAAGCCTGTACTATTAGCTGGAGATTATTATAAGGCCGTATAAGTACTAGGCTTCAGCTAAGGAAGGATCTACCTGCTACTCCATTGCAACAAACAAGAAGCTAACTGCCTTTAAAGGCTTCAAACTGGATTTCCTTTAAGACCAGACCAAATTAAAACATACCACAGGAGAAGGTAACTCTAATGTGACGGTAACTCTATGCATTAGAAAAGTAAATTGTAAAATAAAGAACAACTAAGGAAAGGGGAATGATTCAACAAGATGGTATCATGCTTTGGGGGAGCCTGCTGCTCTACTAAGATATGAGAAACAACTGGTAAGAAATGCCTTCAACAAGCACTGGTTCACTTCATCTCAGGCTGTGAAGAACTAAGGCAAAAATTTTCTCCTGCCAGCCATGCTGCATGAAAAAAGGCTGATTAAATCAACACCCTGCTGATGTTTGGAAGTTACTCAGTCAACTGGTGAGTGAACCAGACTCTACTGACACACAAATGGTTTTCCATAATGAATAATAAAGGAGCATTTCAAAAATGCTTAAAAACTGTCAATAGCTATCCATTGACCACAGAGGTGATTCCAGAAACTATGTACCACGACATTCAGGAAACTGTAGGATTTGGCCCCTGGCCTATCTTTCTAGCATAACTTCCTATTTACCACTATGCAAACTTTTCCCAGGAAAGTTCTAGAAAAACTTCTAGAAGTTTTATAATTTACCAACCCTCATTCAAGAAAACACAGGCTCAGTACTCTAGCCATACCAAATTCTTTATTTCACTCATTCATTTATTCAACAAATATTTATTTTGCATTAAATCCATGCCAGGCACTGTGAAAGTCTGAAAGTCGATGAGAATAACCACATGGCCAAAACAGACAAAAACCCTGCTTTCCAGATGTTAACAGTCTCATCCAAGGGGACAAACCTCAAGTAAACCAATCATTAATGAAAATAAGTTTAGATTGCCCTAAGTGCTATGAAGAAATAAACGAACAAACAATTCAGTAAGAGCTGGCTGGGCTGGGTGAAAGCAGGACTCCTTTAGATAAATTAGTCAAGTAAGGTCTCTGCAATGTGATTTTTGAGCTGAGACTTAAACGTTGAAAAGCCAGTCATGAACAGAAGAGGAGGAAGAGTGTTCCAGGCAAAAGAAAGTCAAGCAAAAAGGCCCTGAAATGGAAAAAGCTTGACATGTTTTAAAAGCCGAGTAGAAACTAAGAAGAGAGATTTGAGAAGTTGGATAACAGATCACTTGTACGCTACAGTAAAGAGTTTGAACATTATTCTAAGTGCAAGAGGAAACGATTAAAGAATTTTAAATACCTGACACGTATTTTCAAATGATAATTCAGACTGCTATGTGGAGAACAGATCTTTGGAAGCAGGCAGGAGAACACTGCAGTAATCCAGCTCAGAGGTAATGCTTTCACATCACAAAATAAAAATGGGACAGCATAGGTTTGCCCCCTCTTTTTCACCCCTCCCTCTTCCATTACTTTCTCTTCCTTTCCATTTTTGCCCATCCTTGCCATAGCAAAGTTTCTCAATTCCGAAGGTGGACGCATAGCCCAAAAGGAAACAATTCTAAAATTTCCAAACTTATTTTAGGAAAGATATACAAGTTCCCTCTCTTGTGAATTAGCATAAATATGAAGCTCAAATATTTTGAGTATGAGTTTAGAACAGCTTGTAAGACATGTGCAAGAAAGGAAAGGGACTAATTCTAAAACACATTAAAACATGTAAAGAACACTGCGTCCATATGGGAACATATGTATATGTATAACTGATTCACTTTGTCATAAAGCAGAAACTAACACACCATTGTAAAGCAATTATACTCCAATAAAGATGTTAAAAGAACACTGCGTCCTTTTGTAAGAGAATATTTAAGATCACATTCCGTTTTCTGAAGCCTTTTATACAACCAGTATAAAACATCAAGCCTGAAATAAGTAATTTCCATTCTTGTACTCAAACGACTTTTTCAATAAGGAAAGGAATTCTTTCTCTACTTTCCCCACCCTAACTTTGGGAATTCATCCAATATCATGCATTTTAGTTTGATGCAGTGCTATATTTTTGCCTTGGCTCTTAACTTAAATTTCACAATATAGCAACTTTAGAGAATTTTTAACCCCATATGAAGTTTCTTACCAACTGCCAAACATGTAAATAGACAGTGAAGACATCCTGTTTCTAAGCCACAGCAGAATTTCTAAGCTCTGATTAGTAGCATAATC